AAAAAGAGAGAAAGAAGGGAAAGGGAAAGAGGAGAGCTAAAATGGAACACAAAAGAGGAAGAAGAAAAGAAAAGGGTAAAAAGAAGCAGAGATCAGTTGCGATTAATCCCACCAAAATCGTGTGGATCGGGGGGAGGGGGCGAAAGGCCCCTGCCTCCCTCAGCAAACTTAAATGTGTGTGAGAGAGAGAGAGAGAGAGAGAGAAGTGAGGGAAGGGAAAGGGGGGGAAAAGAGGAAGAAGAAAGGTAGGGGAGATCAGTTGCAATTTGTCCCGATTTGTACCCCTCCCCCCCCCCCTTAGCAAAGAGAGAGAGAGAAGGAAGGAAAAGAAGGGAAAGGGAAAGAAGAGAAAAGGAAGAAGAAGAGAAAAAGGCGAAAAGAATGAGATTGGGGGGCCGGAAGGGCCTTGCCGCCCATGCTGTTGCCCCCCCCCGCGCAAAACAAGAGAGAAGGAAGGAAAGGGAAAGAAACAAAAGAGGAAAAGAAAAGAAGGAATATCAGTTGCAATTTTTCTGCAAACAAGATGTGGATCGCGGAGAAAGGCCTTTGCCTCTGCCCCCTCCCCGACTTCCCCACCCTTCCCCGCAAAAAAAAGAAAGAAAGAAGGGAAAGGGAAAGAGGAGAGCTAAAATGGAACACAAAAGAGGAAGAAGAAAAGAAAAGGGTGAAAAGAAGCAGAGATCAGTTGCGATTAATCTCACCAAAGTCGCGTGGATCGGCGGGAGGGGGCGAAGGGCCCCTGCCACCCTCAGCAAACTTAAATGAGAAAGAGAGAGAGAGAGAGAGAGAGAAGTAAGGGAAGTGAAAGGGAAAGAGGAGAGAAAGGGACAGAAAACAAAGAGGAAGAAAAGAAAAGGAATTAGGGAAGATCAGTTGCGATTTTCATTGGTTCTTCTATCATCATTTTACAATTATCATTGTACAAATGTATTTATATATTCATTTATTTATTCCTGTTTGATAACAAAAATATGAATATAAACTCATAAACTCATAACAGCAACAAAATTAAATGTAGGAGGAAACTATCTTTCTGGGAGCAAGAAGCGCAAAAATGATCATGCATTTGCATGTACATGTAAGTGTGTCATTAATATAATTCATATTGTTTAATTACATCTTGTGAAATAGTATGCATTCAAGCTTTAGGGATTTTTTGTTGGTGTATTTGTATGAAAGAAAGCGTTTGGAGCTTACAATGCACATGTTGCAATTTCAGGTGCAACTTAATGTTCAAATATGGAACACGCACGACCAGGCACTAGTGTAGGAAATCTTCAAATGTTAATCAGGTATATGACTAAATTACTTGTCTGTTGCCTTACGAAAAAGTTTATATTTAGTCAGGCCTGAATTGAGTCGCAAAACAATTATTATGTTGAAAGGAAAAAAACATATTTGATGACATTCGAAATTCCCCAATAACCAATACGATTGGAGAGCGAGTACTCGTTTTTGTTTTTCTTCAAAACTTACTCAACTATAAATAGCTGGCCCGGATACTTGAGCCTCTCACAAAACGCAAGTATAGGCCTGATGTGTCGTCAGTGGCGTCGCTAGTCCTTTTTCATTGTGGGGGGGGGGGGGGGGGGTATAGAGGCCAACGATTCCCGACAAAACAAGCCACCAATTAATTACCAACAAAATTAAATGTTCCAATATCTACAAATTTAACCCTATAAATCCGGGGCCAAAGGCTAAATTGTTATGCGCAAATGATCATTTTCGTCGACGACATAGATATACAAATTATTTCGTCAACTTAGTAAGCATCATAGCTATATATTTTAATGCAGGCGCGTAGCTAGGATCTTATTTTAGGGAGGGGCGGTATTGAGCAAGCGAATCACTTAAAGCGCTCCCTAGGTGGGGGAGGGGACGTTTCATTAAATTATTAGAAAAAGAAGACGATTCATTGAACCGGACATATTTAAAAACTGAAATGTGGCACCACCCAAAAATATAATTCTGAGATCCTTCTTTGTCTTTAATTTGCACCTGAAAATAAATTCTTTGTTCCTCGTCTATGTCATCGCGGCGAAAAATTTCAGACTTTTCTTCTTTTCATGCATCCTCAGACAAATGTGCCAAAGAAGTTTTGTCTTCTTGTGTTCCTGGAAACAAAGTTTGGGCACTAGTTTTCAAGTTCAGTTTATCTTTACGAGATGTGTAATGTTAAGCTTTGGTTGAGCTTTCTTTGGGTCATTGTACTTATCAGAGAAGTTTTGATCCGTTTTAAGACAGAGAATGTTCTCTCGCAATTTGCCGTTGTAACCGGGATTGTAAGGTAAATGAGAAGAAGGATGTGCACCTCTGAGAATGATCTCTTATAGACTGTTATGGACTGTTGTTGAAAATCTCACAGATTGTTTTAATGTATATTTGATAGGTTTACTCTCATCGTCACACACGTCTTGGAGGCTTGTTAGCTGCCGAGTTAATGCTACAAAGTCAATATCTCCGGCATACACTTCCCTCAACTCATCAGCACGAACAAAATATTGGGGAGGGGGCTCATGATAACCGAGCCCGGCCGAAATATTTTTTTTTTGGGGGGTGGCTCAATGATATCCGTGCCCCTCAAAAATATCGGGGGGCTCCATGATGTTATCTGAGCCCCACATAAATATCGGGGGGGGGGGGGGGGGGCTACGTGATGTTATCCGAGCCCCACCAAAAACACTTGAGGGGGGGGGGGCTTATGATATCTGAGCCCCACCAACAAATGTGGCTCAATGATATCAGAGTCCCTCCAAAATATTTGGGGGTTTAATATATTTTGTGGGTCAATGATATGCGAGATCCGATGTCTGAGCCCCCCTCCCTCCTCCCTAAGTAAATATTTATAAAATGTTTATATTTGAATGGTACGTCTGTAGATTATAGGTATACATGAGTTTCATGCCTAGAATATAATCATTGGGGAGGAGGGCGGCTCAATGATATCTGAGCCCCTAAGGACTCAATTATCTAAGCCCCACCAAAAGATTGAGGGGCTCAATTAATGATATCTATAAGCCCCGCCAAAAATATTGGGGGGGGGGGGGGGCTCAATGATCTCTGAGCCCCCCTAATATATATATATATATATATTTTTTTTTGGGGGGGGGCTGTGTCCCCCAATCCCCCTCCCCGGTTCCTAAGCCTAATTACAGTTCAATGAAGTCTACTTTTTTAAACTTAAAGGGATTGGGTAACTTTGCCTTAGGTTCTGAAACAAATGATAGTTAGGGCTAGTTCTGATCGGAAAACGACCCAAATATCGGAGTATGGCTAGCTGCCCCAGGGCCTTGTCCTATATACGGATCAAAGAAAAATACTTAAAACATTTCGGGGGTTACTTTTATGACTTTCGGGGGCTCTTTTTGGCATTTCGGGGGCTAATTCACCCCGAGCCCCCGTGTATTTTTCCTCCTTATACGGATAAGTGAGTGCCCTGATGGGTCTTCTTCTAACTCGTGTTTTTAGCCCTTCTTTCTTTACTTTTTCCTTTTCTTTCTTTTTTCTTTCCTTTCCTTTCTTATTTTTTCAAAGAGGGGGGGGGGGGGGGCGGGAGCGGCGGCTCCATCGCCCCCCGTATATCTGCGCCTGAGTGACACCCACACAAACTAAGCTTATTTACATTACAAAAAAATGAAGAAAGAGCCCCTCGACACCATAGGTGTAAGTATTCAGCCAGTTCCTACCCCCCCCCCACCAATATAAACTTTAAAAGTTTTTTTTTTCTAATTTGATACCAGTGATATACAGATCTTGCTGAAATGGCCTAATTTTCCGGGATTTTTCCTCGCTTTTTAGTAAATTATACTTTTTATGCGTTTGTTGGAGAATGACATATATCACAATTTACAGTCATGTAAGAAATGTGCTTATTTACTATTTAGAGGCCGTCATGTCAGGTCCCCCTCCCACCCCCACACTTTTGAAAAAGTATATTAAAGAAAATTAAATAGAAAGAAATAGAAAAGAAAGTATGCTCATGTAACCGTAATTAAATGCCCATACCCCTGAGCTAATTCCGGGGGCTCTGCCCCCCTGGACCCCATCTTTGGCCCTAAGGCTGGCTCCTGGATGCTAATCTGACCTTAATTGTAATGCCTAAAACCCAGGCGCTTCCGGGGGCTCCGCCCCTTGGAGCATACGCCAATTAGTGACCTGCCAGTGTCATGATATGCTCATCTGACCGTAAGTACGAAGCCACGTACAATCGATTACAACAGTAATTGTGGGGCCGATATCACGTGTATGCCTTCATAGAATAAAGGTTTTAAAGAAAATACTCACTTCTTCTTTCAAAAAGACTGGCCCATTTGCTTTAAAAAATTGTAGAGAGTTATTATTATGTAATTTCTAGAAAAAATGCCAACCACATGATTTACAACAGGCCTAACTACATTGATTTGCCGAGTTTCTTCCTTTTATCAAATATACACGTAAAACAATGGGGGGACAGACTGCGCGGATAGCAATTCGCACGGATCGTCCCTCGGACGATACGTGCGAGCAGAAAACCCGTATATTATGTCCGACGGACAAACGAAACTGGTAGGACAAACGGCGCGGTCACACCGGAATAATAGTGCTGATTTCATTGAATAGCGCCATCTTGTGTTGTAAAAGAAAGAGTGAAAAATAATTTTGTGACGGAATGGACTATTTTTAGCGAAAGGACCCGGGGTAGCCTAACAATTTGTCAACCTTCTCATTTATGTTTGACACTGTAGCTTGATTCACACTTTTGTAATTTTGGAAGATAAAATGATTCATTAACTTTTTACGTCAGGCCGTCGCTGGGTCAACTAAAAAAAAGCTATTTAAATTAATTAACATTGTGACTTTTCACTGTTGATTGAGTGGAGATGCAAACCGTGAATTAAATTTGACTCTGATACGAAGCATGAAAGCCTAGGTATCTATAATGTCTTGATGAGAAAGGAGCATTTGCTTTATGTAATAGGTGTTTGTATGTAATCTGGTTAGACTTGATATCTTACCTGCACACGGAGTCCCAGTATAACCAGCAGAGCACGCACAAGTATACATGTTCACTGCATCAATACAATCTTCATTAGCCATACACGGAGTGGAAGCACATTCGTCGATATCTGTGCAAATTGAGTTTCAGTGATAATCATTGGAATGAAAGTGACAAGAAAAATAATTCCCCTTTTGACCACTTTATCTTTTTTTGACGGATGAAAGGGAAATTAATATAAAACTGGCATTTTAAATAAGACAGTTAATGAATTGACAACCTCATTCGTAAAACTACAACAATTCATAACTTAAACAAAGTAAATGAACTAAATATCTCTTTTAATGTTTAATGTGTATATATTATTTTGTAATGGGAATATTAATGTTCAGTCGTCAGGTGAAAAATAAAACTATATTCTAGTCTGGATATTGTGAAGAAACACAGTGTTTTGGACAAAAACAACACGGTATTTGGAGACTAGATAACAAATACTTGGTATGGATTACAATATCGTTGAACATCGAACTATAGTTACAGTCAACTACTTAAACATTTGTTTCACTGAAAGGTTTATATTCTAAACAAATTAGTAAGTAGCCGTCGCAGGTAATCAAATAAAAAAGGTCATTAAAATGAATTAACATTGTGACATTTTACTGTTGATCGAGAGGAGATGCAAACTGTGAGTTGAATTTGACTCTGATACGAAGCATGAAAGCCTAGGTATATATATAATGTCTTGATGAGAAAAAAGCATTTGATTTATGTAATAGGTGTTTGTGTGTAATCTGCTTTGACTTGATAGCTTACCTGCACACGGAGTCCCAGCATAACCAGCAGAGCACGTACAAGTATACATGTTCACTGCATCAATACAATCTTCATTAGCCATACACGGAGTGGAAGCACATTCGTCGATATCTGTGCAAATTGAGTTTCAATGATAATCATTGGAATGAAAGTGACAAGAAAAATAATTCCCCTTTTGACCACTTTATCTTGTTTTGACGGATGATAGGAAAATTAATTTAAAACTGGCATTTTAAATAAGACAGTCAAGGAATGCACAACCTCCTTCGTAAAACTACATCATTACATAACTTAAACGAAATAAATGAACTAAATATCTCTTTTAATGTTTAATGTGTTTTCTATTATTTTTATAATGGGAATATTAATGTTCAGTCGTCAGGTGAAAAAAACAGGACTATATTCTAGTCTGGATATTGTGAAGAAACACAGTGTTTTGGACAATAACAACACGGTGCTTGAAGACTAGATAACACATACTTGGTATGGATTACAATGTCATTGAACATCGAAATATAGTTACAGTCAACTACTTAAACATTTGTTTCACTGAAAGGTTTATATTCTAAACAAATTAGTAAGTAGCCGTCGCCGGTAAACAAATAAAAAAGGCCGGAAACTAAATTAACATTGTGACTTTCACTGTTGATCGAGTGGAGATGCAAACCGTGAGTTGAATTCGACTCTGATACGAAGCATGAACGCCTAGGTATCTATAATGTCTTGATGAGAAAGGAGCATTTGCTGTATGTAATAGGTGTTTGTATGTAATCTGCTTTGACTTGATAGCTTACCTGCACACGGAGTCCCAGCATAACCAGCAGAGCACGCACAAGTATACATGTTCACTGCATCAATACAATCTTCATTAGCCATACACGGAGTGGAAGCACATTCGTTGATATCTGTGCAAATTGAGTTTCAGTGATAATCATTGGAATAAAAGCGACTAGAAAATAATTTCACTTTTGACCACATTATCTTTTTTTTGACGGATCATAGGAAAATTAATTTAAAACTGGCATTTTAAATAACACAGTTAAGGAATAGATAACCTCCTTCGTAAAACTACATCAATACATAACTTAAACGAATTAAATGAACTAAATATCTCTTTTAATGTTTAATGTGTTTTCTATTATTTTTATAATGGGAATATTAATGTTCAGTCGTCAGGTGAAAAAAACAGAACTATATTCTAGTCTGGATATTGTGAAGAAACACAGTGTTTTGGACAACAACAACACGGTGTTTGAAGTCTATATAACAAATACTTGGTATGGATTACAATATCATTGAACATAGAAATATAGTTACAGTCAACTACTTAAACATTTGTTTCACTGAAAGGTTTATATTCTAAACAAATTAGTAAGTAGCCGTCGCAGGTAATCAAATAAAAAAGGCCGCAAAATAAATTAACATTGTGACTTTTCAATGTTGATCGAGTGGAGATGCAAACCGTGAGTTGAATTCGACTCTGATACGAAGCATGAAAGCCTAGGTATCTATAATGTCTTGATGAGAAAGGAGCATTTGCTTTATGTAATAGGTGTTTGTATGTAATCTGCTTTGACTTGATAGCTTACCTACACACGGAGTCCCAGCATAACCAGCAGAGCACGCACAAGTATACATGTTCACTGCATCAATACAATCTTCATTAGCCATACACGGAGTGGAAGCACATTCGTCGATATCTGTGCAAATTGAGTTCCAAAGACAATGAATGAAATAAAAGCGATTAGAAAAATAATTCCCCTTTTGACCACTTTATCTTCTTTTGACGGATGAAAGGGAAATTAATTTAAAACTGGCATTTTAAATAAGACAGTAAAGGAATGGACAACCTCCTTCGTAAAACTACATCATTACATAACTTAAACGAAGTAAATGAACTAAATATCTCTTTTAATGTTTAATGTGTTTTCTATTATTTTTATAATGGGAATATTAATGTTCAGTCGTCAGGTGAAAAAAACAGAACTATATTCTAGTCTGGGTATTGTGAAGAAACACAGTGTTTTGGACAACAACAACACGGTGTTTGGAGACTAGATAACAAATACTTGGTATGGATTACAATATCGTTGAAGATCGAAATATAGTTACAGTCAACTACTTAAACATTTGTTTCACTGAAAGGTTTATATTCTAAACAAATCAGTAAGTAGCCGTCGCCAGTAATCAACTAAAAAAAGGCCGCAAACTAAATTAACATTGTGACTTCGTCGATGTCTGTGCAAATTGAGTTTCAATGATAATCATTGGAATGAAAGTAACAAGAAAATAATTTCCATGTTGCCAGATTTGTCTATATTTAGCGATTAACAGGAAAATCAATTACAAATTGTTTTTAAATGCAAATTAATGACAATTGAGAACAAATCTACTTAATTTATAAAACTATTAATCAAAAAATAAAATAAAGTAAACAAACTAACTCTATCTTGAATTCGTCCGATTTTTTTCCGAATTCATGGACTTAGAAGAAGTAAAAATCTCGAAAACAAGTTTCGTTGTCTGACAATCCTTGAAGAGGCCCTCGAAGAAAAAGAGAATAACAGGAAAATTAAGTAAAAACTGACATTTTAAATAATGACAGGTAGGTTTTTTAGGTAGGCTTTCCCCAAACTTTAGCCCACTCCATTTTCGGGAAGAAGGGGGGGGGGGGGGGGGGGGGGGGGTGGCAGTGTATGAAAGTTAAAATGTTGATTTTGACATAATTATATGAAGGGGTTAAGTGCACGATATTAGCGTATATCATGGCTTAAATCATCGTTATCATTAAGTGTTAATTAATTTCCTTTAAAACCAAAAGATTTCTCGACGTTAAATTTTGATGTTACAATATATCTTCATACCTGTACCACACAAATCTCCAGTATATCCCGCATCACATATACATGCATCGCCAGTGGCATGACAGGTACCTCCGTTCATACATGTGTTGGTAACAGAACAATCAACTGCAGAGAGAAGAGAAAATATCCTTAAATGAACTAATCTTTAAAGTCACCGTTCACTAGGAAATGCATGAGTGACGAGTATACAGACGCTTATAAATTCAGAACCTTCATGATACTCGTCTTCAATTTGCTTTAAAAAAGTGTTTCCATCCCTTGAAAATTTCACTGCCCCTATTGGTTTATACTGTTGTGAAGCAATTCTCTGTCACACATACATACACACTCTCTCCTAAGGACAATTTTATAGAATTAAGGTTTGTCGTGGGAACGATTTCTATCTTTTCGCTCAAGGTCCAGGACTCCAAAACTCCAAATAATGGCCCAGAGGGCCCCTGTCGTGTTGCAGGGGCAGAGGCCTAAGTTGGCAGTTGTCCAGGAGAAGGAGCCACCGGATGCTCTTAATTAAGTCTAACAATTAATCTAGAACCTTCAAGAATTCCCTCCCGACGAGTAGAAAATTATTATTTTTGAAATTCAAACAGCCCCACATTCATTTCATTAGAAATCGTATTTTTTTCTCTTTCATAGAACTGCATTCAATTTTTTGTTTTACTGTTCTACTTTCATCTGAAGCCTTCGTCGGCACACGTCGAACCTATTGCAACTCATCTGCAATGTAATCTATATGTTTAGATTTGGGTTTCATGTTCTTCTTTTTATTTTCCGTCTCGCTCCCTCCCAATTTCCTTTCTCCCTCTATCTTTTTTTCTTTGTCATATCTTCGTTTCTTTTTACCCTTTTCTCCCTTTTTTCAGGACCCCGCTAAAGAAGGGGGATGACCGCGGTCGATTCACCCTTCCCCGATCCACCATAGCTTTATACATTCATTGCATATATTTCAACAAATGGCGGTGGGTTGAGGTTTTCATCCCATCTAAACAGTTAACTACTTGAACATTTGTTTCACTGAAAGGGTATATTCTAAACTAATTAGCAAGTACCATCAATTTTAAAAGTATCGTATGATAAGACTGAAAGCTTTGTTTTGCACGTTTGTTGCAATAAACGAAAAAAGTGTTCATTTTTTCAAAATTGTTCATAAAGTTATGGATGTAGATTGTTAATAAATTGTAGTTTGGAGTACATTTTCAGCGACTTGTCTCATGAAAATTAAGGGGCCGGAATAATAGTGCTGATTTCATTGAATAGCGTCATCTTGTGTTATAAACAAAAGAGTGAAAATAATTTTGTGACGGATTGGACTATTTTTAGCGATAGGACCCGGGGTAGCCTAACACTTTGTCAACCTTTTCATTTATGTTCGACACTGTAGCTTGATTCACACTTTTGTAATTTGGGAAGATAAAATGATTCATTAACTTTTTACGTCAGGCCGTCGCTGGGTCAACTAAAAAAAGGCCATTAAAATAAATTAACATTGTGACTTTTCAATGTTGATCGAGTGGAGATGCAAACCGTGAGTTGAATTTGACTCTGATACGAAGCATGAAAGCCTAGGTATCTATAGTGTCTTGATGAGAAAGAAGCATTTGCTTTATGTAATAGGTGTTTGTATGTAATCTGCTTTGACTTGATAGCTTACCTGCACACGGAGTCCCAGCATAACCAGCAGAGCACGCACAAGTATACATGTTCACTGCATCAATACAATCTTCATTAGCCATACACGGAGTGGAAGCACATTCGTCGATATCTGTGCAAATTGAGTTCCAAAGACAATGAATGAAATAAAAGCGATTAGAAAAATAATTCCCCTTTTGACCACTTTATCTTCTTTTGACGGATGAAAGGGAAATTAATTTAAAACTGGCATTTTAAATAAGACAGTAAAGGAATTGACAACCTCCTTCGTAAAACTACATCATTACATAACTTAAACGAAGTAAATGAACTAAATATCTCTTTTAATGTTTAATGTGTTTTCTATTATTTTTATAATGGGAATATTAATGTTCAGTCTTCAGGTGAAAAAAACAGAACTATATTCTAGTCTGGGTATTGTGAAGAAACACAGTGTTTTGGACAACAACAACACGGTGTTTGGAGACTAGATAACAAATACTTGGTATGGATTACAATATCGTTGAAGATCGAAATATAGTTACAGTCAACTACTTAAACATTTGTTTCACTGAAAGGTTTATATTCTAAACAAATCAGTAAGTAGCCGTCGCCAGTAATCAACTAAAAAAAGGCCGCAAACTAAATTAACATTGTGACTTCGTCGATGTCTGTGCAAATTGAGTTTCAATGATAATCATTGGAATGAAAGTAACAAGAAAATAATTTCCATGTTGCCAGATTTGTCTATATTTAGCGATTAACAGGAAAATCAATTACAAATTGTTTTTAAATGCAAATTAATGACAATTGAGAACAAATCTACTTAATTTATAAAACTATTAATCAAAAAATAAAATAAAGTAAACAAACTAACTCTATCTTGAATTCGTCCGATTTTTTTCCGAATTCATGGACTTAGAAGAAGTAAAAATCTCGAAAACAAGTTTCGTTGTCTGACAATCCTTGAAGAGGCCCTCGAAGAAAAAGAGAATAACAGGAAAATTAAGTAAAAACTGACATTTTAAATAATGACAGGTAGGTTTTTTAGGTAGGCTTTCCCCAAACTTTAGCCCACTCCATTTTCGGGAAGAAGGGGGGGGGGGGGTGGCAGTGTATGAAAGTTAAAATGTTGATTTTGACATAATTATATGAAGGGGTTAAGTGCACGATATTAGCGTATATCATGGCTTAAATCATCGTTATCATTAAGTGTTAATTAATTTCCTTTAAAACCAAAAGATTTCTCGACGTTAAATTTTGATGTTACAATATATCTTCATACCTGTACCACACAAATCTCCAGTATATCCCGCATCACATATACATGCATCGCCAGTGGCATGACAGGTACCTCCGTTCATACATGTGTTGGTAACAGAACAATCAACTGCAGAGAGAAGAGAAAATATCCTTAAATGAACTAATCTTTAAAGTCACCGTTCACTAGGAAATGCATGAGTGACGAGTATACAGACGCTTATAAATTCAGAACCTTCATGATACTCGTCTTCAATTTGCTTTAAAAAAGTGTTTCCATCCCTTGAAAATTTCACTGCCCCTATTGGTTTATACTGTTGTGAAGCAATTCTCTGTCACACATACATACACACTCTCTCCTAAGGACAATTTTATAGAATTAAGGTTTGTCGTGGGAACGATTTCTATCTTTTCGCTCAAGGTCCAGGACTCCAAAACTCCAAATAATGGCCCAGAGGGCCCCTGTCGTGTTGCAGGGGCAGAGGCCTAAGTTGGCAGTTGTCCAGGAGAAGGAGCCACCGGATGCTCTTAATTAAGTCTAACAATTAATCTAGAACCTTCAAGAATTCCCTCCCGACGAGTAGAAAATTATTATTTTTGAAATTCAAACAGCCCCACATTCATTTCATTAGAAATCGTATTTTTTTCTCTTTCATAGAACTGCATTCAATTTTTTGTTTTACTGTTCTACTTTCATCTGAAGCCTTCGTCGGCACACGTCGAACCTATTGCAACTCATCTGCAATGTAATCTATATGTTTAGATTTGGGTTTCATGTTCTTCTTTTTATTTTCCGTCTCGCTCCCTCCCAATTTCCTTTCTCCCTCTATCTTTTTTTCTTTGTCATATCTTCGTTTCTTTTTACCCTTTTCTCCCTTTTTTCAGGACCCCGCTAAAGAAGGGGGATGACCGCGGTCGATTCACCCTTCCCCGATCCACCATAGCTTTATACATTCATTGCATATATTTCAACAAATGGCGGTGGGTTGAGGTTTTCATCCCATCTAAACAGTTAACTACTTGAACATTTGTTTCACTGAAAGGGTATATTCTAAACTAATTAGCAAGTACCATCAATTTTAAAAGTATCGTATGATAAGACTGAAAGCTTTGTTTTGCACGTTTGTTGCAATAAACGAAAAAAGTGTTCATTTTTTCAAAATTGTTCATAAAGTTATGGATGTAGATTGTTAATAAATTGTAGTTTGGAGTACATTTTCAGCGACTTGTCTCATGAAAATTAAGGGGCCGGAATAATAGTGCTGATTTCATTGAATAGCGTCATCTTGTGTTATAAACAAAAGAGTGAAAATAATTTTGTGACGGATTGGACTATTTTTAGCGATAGGACCCGGGGTAGCCTAACACTTTGTCAACCTTTTCATTTATGTTCGACACTGTAGCTTGATTCACACTTTTGTAATTTGGGAAGATAAAATGATTCATTAACTTTTTACGTCAGGCCGTCGCTGGGTCAACTAAAAAAAGGCCATTAAAATAAATTAACATTGTGACTTTTCACTGTTGATCGAGTGGAGATGCAAACCGTGAGTTGAATTTGACTCTGATACGAAGCATGAAAGCCTGGGTATCTATAATGTCTTGATGAGAAAGGAGCATTTGCTTTATGTAATAGGTGTTTGTATGTAATCTGCTTTGACTTGATAGCTTACCTGCACACGGAGTCCCAGCATAACCAGCAGAGCACGTACAAGTATACATGTTCACTGCATCAATACAATCTTCATTAGCCATACACGGAGTGGAAGCACATTCGTCGATATCTGTGCAAATTGAGTTTCGGTGATAATCTTTGGATTAAAAGGGACTAGAAAATAATTTCACTTTTGACCACTTTATCTTTTTTGACGGATGATAGGAAAATTAATTTAAAACTGGCATTTTAAATAACATAGTTAAGGAATAGATAACCTCCTTCGTAAAACTACATCAATACATAACTTAAACGATGTAAATGAACTAAATATCTATTTTAATGTTTAATGTGTATCTATTATTTTTGTTATGGGAATATTAATGTTCAGTCGTCTGGTAAAAAATAAAACTATATTCTAATCTGGATATTGTGAAGAAACACAGTGTTTTGGACAACAACAACACGGTGTTTGGAGACTAGATAACGAATACTTGGTATGGATTACAATATCGCTGAACATCGAAATATAGTTACAGTCAACTACTTAAACATTTGTTTCACTGCAAAGTTTATATTGTAAACGGCAAATTAGCAAGTAGCCGTCGCCGGTAATCAAATAAAAAAGGCCATTAAACTAAATTAACATTGTGACTTTTCACTGTTGATCGAGTGGAGATGGGGGAGATGCAAACGGTGAGTTGAATTTGACTCTGAAACGAAGCATGAAAGCCTAGGTATCTATAATGTCTTGATGAGAAAGGAGCATTTGCTTTATGTAATAGGTGTTTGCAGGCGCGTACGCAGGATTTTTTCAAGGGGGGGGTTTTAACATTTATAAATCGGTCCGAAAATTTCGCAACGACTCAGCCAGCCGCTGAATAAGCGGGGGGGGGGGGGGGGGGGGGGGGGGGGGGGGGGGGGGGGGGTCTCGAAATTTGGAAATTTGACATTTTGCTCCGTTGGGGGGGGGGGGTAAGGTCACCTTTTTTAGGTCGGCCATGGGAATAATTTTTTTTTTTTTTTTTTTTTTAATAATTAAAAAAAAAAAAAAAAAAAAAAAAAAAAAAAATCCAAAAAGGGGGGGGGGGGGGGGGGGGGGGGGGGGGAGGGGGGGGGGGGGGTTTAGGTTTTTTTTAGGGGGGTTTACACACAAAAAATTTCCAAAGGGGGGGGGTTTAACCCCCCAAACCCCCCCCCCCCCCCTGCGTACGCGCCTGGGTGTTTGTATGTAATCTGCTTTGACTTGATAGCTTACCTACACACGGATTCCCAGCATAACCAGCAGAGCACGGACAAGTATACATGTTCACTGCATCAATACAATCTTCATTAGCCATACACGGAGTGGAAGCACATTCGTCGATATCTGTGCAAATTGAGTTTCAATGATAATCATTGGAATGAATGTGACAAGAAAATTATTTCTATGTTGTTAGATTTTTCTATATTTAGCGATTAACAGGAAAATCAAGTAAAAATTGTTTTTTTAAATGCAAATTAATGACAATTGAGACAAAATCTACTTAATTTGTAAAACTATTAATCAAAATAAATTTATCTTAATTCGTCCGATTTTTTCCAAACTCGTGGACTTAGAAAAAGAAAAAAATCTCTAAAACAAGTTATTGTCTGACAATACTTAATGTGGCCCTCGTAGATAAAGACAATAACTTTTCACTGTTGATCGAGTGGAGATGCAAACCGTGAGTTGAATTTGACTCTGATACGAAGCATGAACGCCTAGGTATCTATAATGTCTTGATGAGAAAGGAGCATTTGCTTTATGTAATAGGTGTTTGTATGTAATCTGCTTTGACTTGATAGCTTACCTGCACACGGAGTCCCAGCATAACCAGCAGAGCACGAACAAGTATACATGTTCACTGCATCAATACAATCTTCATTATCCATACACGGACCGGAAGCACATTCGTCGATATCTGTGCAAATTGAGTTTCAATGATAATCATTGGAATGAAAGTGACAGGAAATTTTTTTCCATCTTGTCAGATTTGTCTAAATTTAGCGATTTAAAGGAAAATCAAGTAAAAATTGTTTTTAAATGCAAATTAATGACAATTGAGACAAAATCTACTTATTTGTAAAACTATTAATCAAAACAAATTTATCTTAATTCGTCCGATTTTTTCCAAACTCGTGGACTTAGAAAAAGAAAAAAGAATCTCTAAAACAAGTTTCGTTGTTTGACAATACTTAATGTGGCCCTCGTAGATAAAGAGAATAACAGGACAATTAAGTCAAAACTTGCATTTTAGATAATGAGAGTTAGGAAATAAATAACCTCCTTCGTAGAATTATCAATGCATAACATGAACTAAATATCTCTTTGAATGTTTAATGTGTTCTCTATTTTGTAATAGGAATAGTAATGTTCATTCGTCAGGTGAAACACAACTATATTCTAGTGTGGATATTGTGAAGAAACACAGCGTTTTGGACAACAAAAATACGGTGTTTGGAGACTTGATAACGAATACTTGGTATGTATTACAATATCATTAAACATCGAAACATAGTAAACAATCACCTACTAATTTTGTTTCACTGAAAGGGTATATTCTAAACTAATTAGCTAGTACCATCAATTTTAAAAGTATCGTATGATAAGAATGAAAGCTTTGTTTTGCACGTTTGTTGCAATAAACGAAAATAAGTGTTCATTTTTCTCAAAATTGTTAATAAAGTTATGGATGTAGATTGTTAATAAATTGTAGTTTGGAGTACGTTTTCAGCGACTTGTCTCATGAAAAACAAGGGGCCGGAATAATAGTGCTGATTTCATTGAATAGCGCCATCTTGTGTTATAAACAAAAGAGTGAAAAAATAATTTTGTGACGGAATGGACTATTTTTAACGATAGGACCCGGGGTAGCCTATGAACAATTTGTCAACCTTCTCATTTATGTTCGACACTGTAGCTTGATTCGCACTTTTGTAATTTGGGAAGATAAAATGATTCATTAACTTTTTACGTCAGGCCGTCGCTGGGAATCAACTAAAAAAAGGCCATTAAACTAAATTAACATTGTGACTTTTCACTGTTGATCGAGGGGAGATGCAAACGGTGGGTTGAATTTGACTCTGATACGAAGCATGAACGCCTAGGTATCTATAATGTCTTGATGAGAAAGGAGCATTTGCTTTATGTAATAGGTGTTTGTATGTAATCTGCTTTGACTTGATAGCTTACCTGCACACGGAGTCCCAGCATAACCAGCAGAGCACGTACAAGTATACATGTTCACTGCATCAATACAATCTTCATTAGCCATACACGGAGTGGAAGCACATTCGTCGATATCTGTGCAAATTGAGTTTCGGTGATAATCTTTGGATTAAAAGGGACTAGAAAATAATTTCACTTTTGACCACTTTATCTTTTTTTGACGGATGATAGGAAAATTAATTTAAAACTGGCATTTTAAATAACATAGTTAAGGAATAGATAACCTCCTTCGTAAAACTACGTCAATACATAACTTAAACGATGTAAATGAACTAAATATCTATTTTAATGTTTAATGTGTATCTATTATTTTTGTTATGGGAATATTAATGTTCAGTCGTCTGGTAAAAAATAAAACTATATTCTAATCTGGATATTGTGAAGAAACACAGTGTTTTGGACAACAACAACACGGTGTTTGGAGACTAGATAACGAATACTTGGTATGGATTACAATATCGCTGAACATCGAAATATAGTTACAGTCAACTGCTTAAACATTTGTTTCACTGCAAAGTTTATATTGTAAACGGCAAATTAGCAAGTAGCCGTCGCCGGTAATCAAATAAAAAAGGCCATTAAACTAAATTAACATTGTGACTTTTCACTGTTGATCGAGTGGAGATGGGGGAGATGCAAACGGTGAGTTGAATTTGACTCTGAAACGAAGCATGAAAGCCTAGGTATCTATAATGTCTTGATGAGAAAGGAGCATTTGCTTTATGTAATAGGTGTTTGTATGTAATCTGCTTTGACTTGATAGCTTACCTACACACGGATTCCCAGCATAACCAGCAGAGCACGGACAAGTATACATGTTCACTGCATCAATACAATCTTCATTAGCCATACACGGAGTGGAAGCACATTCGTCGATATCTGTGCAAATTGAGTTTCAATTATAATCATTGGAATGAATGTGACAAGAAAATTATTTCTATGTTGTTAGATTTTTCTATATTTAGCGATTAACAGGAAAATCAAGTAAAAATTGTTTTTTTAAATGCAAATTAATGACAATTGAGACAAAATCTACTTAATTTGTAAAACTATTAATCAAAATAAATTTATCTTAATTCGTCCGATTTTTTCCAAACTCGTGGACTTAGAAAAAGAAAAAAATCTCTAAAACAAGTTATTGTCTGACAATACTTAATGTGGCCCTCGTAGATAAAGACAATAACTTTTCACTGTTGATCGAGTGGAGATGCAAACCGTGAGTTGAATTTGACTCTGATACGAAGCATGAACGCCTAGGTATCTATAATGTCTTGATGAGAAAGGAGCATTTGCTTTATGTAATAGGTGTTTGTATGTAATCTGCTTTGACTTGATAGCTTACCTGCACACGGAGTCCCAGCATAACCAGCAGAGCACGCACAAGTATACATGTTCACTGCATCAATACAATCTTCATTAGCCATACACGGAGTGGAAGCACATTCGTCGATATCTGTGCAAATTGAGTTTCAGTGATAATCATTGGAATAAAAGCGACTAGAAAATAATTTCACTTTTGACCACTTTATCTTTTTTTTGACGGATGATAGGAAAATTAATTTAAAACTGGCATTTTCATACCGGAGTGTTGGCTCAGTCAGTAGAGCGTCCGCCTCACAACCGGGAGGTCGTGGGTTCGAACCCCGGCCGCGTCATACCAAAAGACGTTAAAAGATGGGAGTTGTTGCTACCTTGTTTGGCGTTCAACAATAAGGGGATAGAGCAACGTCGATCTGGCGCTGCTCAGTGGCTGCCGGGCTCACGATCAATTGGGCAAAAAGAATTTCCGTTTCGGTTTAATAAAATTTGGATTGGACTATTAGATTATTATTATTATATTATTATTATTAAATAACACAGTTAAGGAATACATAACC